GTTCGTAGGTTTATGAGTCTATTATATTGCATGCTAGTTGAATTGGTACCCCGTTGACCTAGGTGGAAGGAGTATGAACCCCTTAGGACTATTCTTAGTACGTGATGGATCACGCATAAGGTTGTTATACGCTTTATCCCCCTTCCCAATGTGTAATGTGGGTTGCATGTGCTTGCTATGTGTTATGTGTGCGTGTTACCCCAATTCGGTTGCGATCGGATTGGTTATCCTGAGCTGCGGTTCAGAAGCCGACTACAGTCAGATGGGAATTCCTGGCTGCAGTCGGATGACGATATCCTGGGCTGCGGTCCAGAAGCTGGTTGTAGTCAGATGGGAATTCCTTACTGCAATCAGATGACATTTTCCTGAGCTGCGGTTCAGAGGCTGGCTGTAGTCAGATGGGAATTCCTGGCTACAGTCAGATGACACACTCTCTTGGGCTGCGGTCCACTGTTTGGTTGCGATCAAACATTATGATGAGCTGCGGTTCATCGGTCGGTTGCGATCGACCTCCCCATGTTGCGATACGGGGCATGGTGCTGCGGGGCTGTGTCAGAGCTATATGCGCTGACCCTCATGTATGGGCATGCGATCGGTCCTGTGGCGCCAACAATGTGCGTTATGTGTGTGATATGGGCGAGATTGTGATTATGTGTGCCTTGGGATGTGACTATGGGATTTGTATTGGGGATTGTTTATGATGGGTTGTGATTATTGTTTATGCCTTGCCTTATCTGCCTTATCTATTGTGAACTGCATATGACTGTTATAACTATTGCTTGTGTCTGACCTTATCTGTCGAGTCATTCCCGGTTTTAAAAGCTAGAGTTCGTAGGATATATCTTCATGCTCACAATGGTTTTTGTATATCTATATATATATCTCTCTATATGTATTGTATTTCAACGCGTTGGAGTGGGTTACCAGCATCTCTCGCTGAACAGATATATTTGGCTTTCAGGCACAGAGGATTAGAGCACTGGAGCGCGCTAGAACTGGAGCGTAGAAGTAGTATAGTTTCCCTTTCGGCCTGCGTGCCATGTTATGCATTTATATTTCGGAGGATAGTAGTTAGACAGCCTGTGCACCTGGGTTCTCTAGCCCAGGTGTGGCATAGCACCCCGTACACTTATGTTACGCTTTGGGATTTAATGAGATGTTACCTTTATGATTAAGTTTTAAATGTCTTGAAAATCAGGGGTGTTACAGGAGTCTGCCCAGGCCCAAGTCCACGAAGAGACTGTTCAGAGTCGTTAGGCGAGCGTCGAGAGGCCTCATTTAAAAAGACCCGGCCCCGGAGCCGTTGGAGGCATTCAAGGCAGGACTCGGTCAGACCGTTATGGATCCAAGGAGCCGTTGATCAATCCGGTAACGATGCCCAACGGCTCGACGATTGTAATTAGCCTTGAAGTCAGTCATTAATGGCCTTCAAGTCGGTAGGAGGGGAGCCTTCTATATAAAGGCTCCTCCACCCTTGTAATCCAGACAAGTTCATCCCAAGAGAAAGGGGAGACACACTAAAAGCTATTACGAGTACTGCCATTTCTTTGCAATTCTGTGTGAAAGGTGAATCCACCAACTAAGGTTGTGTTGGACCTCCCTGGGCCTGAAAACCCAAAAACCAACACTGGCGCCGTCTGTGGGATCGATACAAGGAGCTACGTGACTCTCTAAGCTAGGCGAGTCCCGAAGTCGGACGAAAAAGCGTCACGAACATGTCGGAAGGACGAGACCAAGCAAACAACCGAAATAACGGGATAGAGGCAGATCTAAGTGACCAGTTGAACCAACGAAATGCTCAGAGCCAAGGAAATGAAACGGCACCGGTGAACCGGCAGCCGCCTATGATACCCCTAACCCCGGAACAACTCCACGCCATCGGACGAGCGTTCGCTGATGCGAGTCGAGGAGTGAGGGAATAGTCGGTTTCTCGGCCGATGCCTCGCCATCAACAACTGTCCCAGAGGACGGAAGACGGACAGGAAAATCGACGGGCAGAAAGCCAGCTAGTACGATCAGTCCACTCAAGGCTGGGTCCGAATGCTGGGCGGCAGCCTGCGCAAGAACGACTAGGAGAAAGGGAGCCCATTCGTGCACCAGCAGGGCCCCGAGACCGGGAAACCGGTCGAGAAAGAGCTCGCACCAGGAAAACTAAGACTCGGACAAGACGTACCGAGCGAATAACGCGCAACGATGACCGACCGGCCCAATCTGAGGTCGGCGAAAGTACGGAATCCACGGGAAACCGCACTCACAATGAAGGCGACGTGGCCCAATTGGCCCGAGAAGTACGAGATCTGAAAGAACGAATTGGGGGAAAGACCAAATCTCCGGGGCAGACGGTGCTCACAGCTTTGCCATTCTCTTCTGAGATCATGTCCTACAAAGTACCCGGCGACATTAAATTTCCGGAACAAGCCACCTTCGACGGATCTGGAGACCCACGCGAACATCTGCTTAGCTATCAAGCCAAAATGCAGGTCTTGGGAGTGCGAGACCCGGTGATGTGTCGCGCCTTTTTGCCCACGCTGAAAGGCTCAGCACAAAGATGGTTAGTGGCGCTGCCCTCCAAGTCGATCCATAGTTTCGAAGAATTGGCCGACCGCTTCATGAGCCACAACGCGGCTAACATCAAGCCTCGGAAGGACCTGACTCACCTGGGAGACGTTCACCAAGAGGAAGGCGAATCTCTGAAAACCTATCTAGCCCACTAGCAAAAGGAAATTCAGTCTATAGAGGAGGTCGAAGATCAGACTGCGCTCACCTTTTTCATCGAGTCTTTACGATCCAGGAAATTGTACCGGGATCTGCGGAACAACCGCCCGGCCACCTACGCGGAAGCCATACATATGGCCAACAAGAGGGCCAACACGGAGCAAGCCATGAAGCACAAACGACAACGCGAGGTCGGAGGATCCGCCGGCGGGAAGAGAACACGAGCCGAAACGAAGGAAAGGCGCCCGGAAGTGACCCGGCGACCAGATGTCAGAAGACCATACGACAAGCCCGTCGCACACCCTTACCGGCCGGTTCCCGAACGGCCAGTACATGAGATACAAGCAGTCGCTCCTCCTCCGCCTCCGCCGACTGACGACCACGCGATAAGCGATGAGGCAGGTAAGACCTCTAAATACTGTCGTTACCACAAGTCTTATACTCACAGCATGGAAGAGTGCTTCTATTTGAAGAAGATCATGGAAGGTATCATCCAGCAAGGGACCCCGCCTCCTAATCAGTGGAGGCGGAGGTCGGTTACTCGGGGAGACGGGGATCCCACCGCCGCCGCAGAGAGCAGCCGGGGCAAGCAGCCGGCTTCTGAAGAGGACGAAGCCCAGTGGCGTCAAAATCCAGTTATTAAAGTGATAGTCGGCGGGCCCGAGGGTGGCGACTCGGCGAATACCAGAAAGGCCTGGGCTCAACAGCTATACGTCGGGACGATATACGGGCGTGAAGAAAGCCCGAAGAAAGCGTGCCGAGAACCGATCACGTTCACTGACAAAGATCTACCCGCGGGAGAGACACCGCATCGGGACGCATTGGTTATAGCGATGGATGTGAACGGAGTGGTTGTTCGGCAAATCCTGGTCGACACCGGAAGCAGCGTCAACGTGCTTTACCTCGACACTTTCACCAAAATGGGATTGACCCGTCAAAACTCCACTCGCCAATTTCACAGGGGACTCGGTGGAGGCAGAAGGATCCATCACTCTGCCAGCCGAGATTGGCAGTTATCCCGACGTACAGAAACTCAGTATGAAGTTCATCGTGATGAATCTGGCCTGTTCGCATAATGCTATACTCGGCCGACCAGGTCTGGAGGATCTAGGAGCCCTAGTTTTCGTCGAGCACCTTTGCTTGAAGTTCCGCACGCCCAATGGGATAGGGACAGTGCGTTGCGACAGGAGAGTCGCCCGCGACTGTTACCTGCAAGCCTGTAGAGGAATGGGCAAGCGTGAGATGCAGATCCATGAGATCACGGAAAGACCCCCAAAGAAGATGATGATACCTCGCCCTGAGCCGGCAGTGGAATTGGAAGAAGTCGAGATCGATCCCGATCAGCCGGATAGGCGGGTCCGAATTGGAGTCGGCCTCCCGAGGAAGTACGAGAAGAGGTCATTAGAGTGCTCCGAGAGCACCAGCTGGTTTTTGCCTGGGGTCCGGAGGACATGCCTGGTGTCGACCGATCCATCATTGCTCATCGACTCGCCGTAGATCCCGGCCATCGGCCGGTTGTGCAGAAAAAGCGATATCTCGCCAATGATCGGAGGGAGTTCATGAAGAAGGAGGTGAGCACGCTGTTGGCTGAAGGCCACATTCGCGAGGTCAAATACCCAGAATGGCTGGCAAACGTAGTTCTCGTACCCAAGCCCCCGGCTTGGCGGATGTGCGTTGACTATACCGACCTCAACAAGGCATGCCCGAAAGATCCGTTTCCCTTGCCTCGGATCGATCAGCTAGTCGACGAAACCGCCGGGTCGGCCCTGTTAAGCTTCATGGACGCCTTCAGACGGTACCACCAAATTTTCATGCATCCTGCAGACGAGGAGAAAACCGCATTCCTAACACCGGATAGAGTGTATTGTTATCGAGTCATGCCATTCGGACTTAAGAATGCCGGAGCTACTTATACCCGGATGGTGGCCCGGCTGTTCCAAGATCTGTTAGGAATATCCATGGCCGCGTACGTGGATGACATGTTCGTCAAGAGCCAAGAAGAGAGCGAGCATGCGAGAGATCTGACCGACTACTTCCAAGTAATGATATGGTATAATCTCCGACTGAATCCTAAGAAATGTGCCTTTGCAGTGCAAAGCGGAAAGTTCCTAGGATATATGGTTAATAAACGAGGCATTGAGCCTAACCCCGAGAAGGTTCAAGCTATCATCGACATGCAGCCTCCCAGTACCGTCAAAGACCTGCAGCGGTTAACTGGCTGAGTGGCTGCCCTTAGTCGCTTCTTGAGTAAGGCGGCGGATAAAACTACTCCCTTCTTCGAAGCCATGAAGAAGAAGGAAGGCTTCGCTTGGACAGCCGAGTGCCAGCAGTCGTTCGAGGAATTGAAGCGGTACCTTTCTATGCCTCCCGTATTGTCCACCCCCCAGGTGGGCGAGCCTCTATTTTTATACTTGGCCGCTTCCCAGAAGGCGGTGAGCTCTGTGCTAGTCAGAGAAGAGGAACGTGCACAGCACCCGGTATATTATGTGAGCCGCTCCTTGAAAGCCGTCGAGACACGGTACACGGCCTTAGAAAAGATAGTTTATGCACTGGTGATCGCCGTGCGCAAGTTAGCGCCTTATTTCCAAGCCCACACTGTCCGAGTACTGACTGATCAACCTTTGGGGAGCGTCTTGCAGAACCCCTCGTCGTCCGGTCGCCTGGTAAAGTGGGCCGTGGAATTAACCCAGTACGAGATCGAGTATCAGCCACGGCCTTCCATAAAAGGCCAAGCCTTGGCCGACTTCTTGGTCGAATGCACAGCAAGTGAAGAAGATAAGGTACGCACTTCGGAAGATGACCTCGGCGAATGGTGGGAGATGCACGCGGATGGAGCCGCCAGTCGACAGCATTGCGGGGGTGGAGTCATGCTGATCACTCCAGAAGGATTCCGACTGTATTACGCCCTGAGCTATTTGTTCCCAACGTCCAACAACGAGGCCAAATATGAGGCAGTGCTGAATGGCCTTCGGCTCGTCAAGGCACTGGGAGTAGAACGACTGCGGATCAAAACCGACTCTAGATTAGTAGTTGGGCAGATCTCCGGCACGTGTGAGGGTAGGAACGCCCGGATGACCCTTTACAAGGAAAAAGCGGCGGAGATGTTAAAAGAGTTCAAGGCCAACGAAATAGAATATATCTCTCGGACAGACAACGTGGAGGCCGACATACTGTCCAAGATCGCATTGGAAGGAGTACCGGACCACCTCATTAAGATTTTCCATAAGGAAGAGCTGAGTCGGCCGAGTATCGAGGAGACGCCGTTGGAAGTCCAGCAGGTAACTCACGCAGAGTGGGATCGGGAAAAGAACCCCGAGATGTTTTGGATCGAGGATATTCGACGGTTTAAGGAAACGGACGAATTGCCCGAAGACCCAGGAGTCGCCGTTAAGGTTCGACGGAAAGCCCCTTCGTTCCAAATCCTCGATGGGCAGCTATACAAGCGGTCATTCGGAGGTCCTCTCTTGAAATGTCTGCTCAGGCCCGAGGCCGAGAAGATAATGGATGAAGCCCATAGAGGCATCTGCGCCGCCCATCAGGGAGCCCACACACTCGCCCGAAAACTAGTCGTCCAAGGATACTACTGGCCGACCATGATGCAGGATTGCATCGAGTGGATAGCGAACTGTGGCGTGTGCCAAGCCTTCGCCAGGAAGGACACGCGGCCAGCGACCTTTTACACCCCGATCACCACGGCCATCCCTTTTGCTAAATGGGGAATCGACCTGGTTGGACCATTGCCTGTCGCCCCGGGAAGCTTGAAGTTTTGCGTGGTGGCCATCGATTACTTCACCAAGTGGATCGAGGCCGAGCCGCTAGCCACCATCACCGAATATCAATGTCGACGCTTCCTATAGAAGAAGGTGATTTGTCGTTTTGGCCTTCCCGAGCATATTGTTAGCGACAACGGTCGACAGTTCGACTGTCAAGCGTTCGCCGACTTTTGTCGCCGACACGACATCCGTCACACCAAGGTATCCGTGGCATATCCCCAGGCCAACGGACAAGTCGAGAACGCGAATCGGACCATAGTGGACAGGATCCAAAAGAAGTTAGAGGACATCGGAGGGAATTGGGCGGATGAGCTTGACCGAGTCCTATGGGCTTATCGCACTACGCAACGACGAGCGACCGGCGAGAGCCCGTTCTCCCAGGCATATGGCTTCGAGGCCAAAGTTCCGATAGAAGTTGTAGAGCCCACTCATCGAGTCCGTAATTACTCGGATGAAGAGAACGAAGAGAACCTTCGAATTGAGAAGAATTTCCTAGAAGAAAGAAGGGAAGCCGCGGGTGCCCGGATGGTTGAATACCAACAAGCCGTGAAAAGGTATCGAGATCGAAGGATCCGCCCACGAACCTTCCAAGTCGGAGATCTCGTGCTACGAGACCGGCAGGCGAGTCAACCCACGGAGGGGGGCAAATTCGCAGTCAAATGGGAGGGACCGTACCGTATTGCTGCGGTGGTCCAAGCCGGCACTTACAAGCTTGAAACCTTGGAGGGCAAGCCCGTAGACCGGATCTGGAACGTCATCAATTTGAAGAAATTCTACCAGTAGAAAGAGGTTAGCCATGAACACGCACCTAAGTTTCGAAACTTGAATAAAAAGAGCACGAATTACGGCCAAATTCCGCTTGGACTCGGCGAATATATAAAGAAACAACGGGGCACTGACCCTTAACTGTTTCTAAGTGAAAGAAAAAGCCTAAAGAGTCGCCTCGAGTGAGGGACTCGGCGAGAGAGCTAGGGAACAAGGGCCCAGACCCTTAGTCCTTTCCGTGAAAAAGCCAAAAGGAGTCACCTCGACTGAGGGACTCGGCGAGTATATAAAGAAACAACGGGGCACTGACCCTTAACTGTTTCTAAGTGAAAGAAAAAGCCTAAAGAGTCGCCTCAACTGAGGGACTCGGCGAGAGAGCTAGGGAACAAGGGCCCAGACCCTTAGTCGTTTCCGTGAAAAAGCCAAAAGGAGTCGCCTCGACTGAGGGACTCGGCGAGTATATAAAGAAACAACAGGGCACTGACCCTTAACTGTTTCTAAGTGAAAGAAAAAGCCTAAAGACTCGCCTCGTCTGAGGGACTCGGCGAGAGAGCTAGGGAACAAGGGCCTAGACCCTTAGTCGTTTCCGTGAAAAAGCCAAAAGGAGTCGCCTCGACTGAGGGACTCGGCGAGTATATAAAGAAATAACGAGGCACTGACCCTTAACTGTTTCTATGTGAAAGGAAAAGCCTAAAGAGTCGTCTCGACTGAGGGACTCGGCAAGAGAGCTAGGGAACAAGGGCCCAGACCCTTAGTCGTTTCCGTGAAAAAGCCAAAAGGAGTCGCCTCGACTGAGGGACTCGGCGAGTATATAAAGAAACAACGGGGCACTAACCCTTAACTATTTCTAAGTGAAGAAAAAGACAAAAGGAGTCGCCTCGACTGAGGGACTCGGCGAGTATATAAAGAAACAACGGGGCACTGACCCTTAACTGTTTCTAATTGAAGAAAAAACCTAAAGAGTCGCCTCGACTGAGGGACTCGGCGAGAGAGCTAGGGAACAAGGGCCCAGACCCTTAGTCGTTTCTGTGAAAAAGCCAAAAGGAGTCGCCTCGACTGAGGGACTCGGCGAGTATATAAAGAAACAACGGGGCACTGACCCTTAACTATTTCTAGAAGAAGAAGAAGACAGAGGAGTCGCCTCATGGGAAGGACTCGGGGAGACATAATCATTGACTAAGACAGTCCGACAAAATGAAGAAGCCCGAGGCCTTAAATTATTTCAAGAAAGTTCAAAAGCAGGAAAAAAGATAAAGGCAATCAAAGGGAACAAAGGAAAATTTCATTAATAATAAAGGCCCGAGAGGGAGGCCAGCCCATACAAAAGAAGGCTATCTAAAAAAGACTAGCCCTAAGCTACTGGGGGGGAGTGTCGACGTCGACCCTCTCAACTTGCCCTCCTGCCGTTGGTCCAGCTGGAGGAACGAGTGAGGAGTCTTCCGCCTGAGGAGGCGGCTCTGCAAGCTCTGAAGGCTCCGCCACTAGGAGAGCTGCTAGATCTGCGAACTCCACCACAGGGAGAGCTGCCGGATCCACAGTCGATGCAGGCTGATCAGTCGCCGGAAAAAGGTCCAGCAGTGGCTTGAGGCCCCAGCTCTCGGGAGTGAAGGCAGAATCACGAGCCAGCAGAGCGGCATAAGTCTCCGACTGAGCTTCACGGAAACCAAGGCGATAGTCACACTCGCCCAGATCCAGGTGGTAGTCATCCCCCTCCGGTGTCGCCAGCCACTCCTGGGCGATCTCCTTCTGTCGAGCTACCACCGCCGCCTTCACCTCCGCCTCGAAGGCCGCCGACTTCTTGTAGTCCTCCACCGAAGTCGCAGCGATAGTCGCGACCTTGTCCCGCTCCTCCTCCCACTGGTGGGTGACCCTTAGCATCTCGGCGGTGTGCACCTCCACCGACTTGGCATGCTTAGCCTGCTCTGCCAGGAAAGCCTCCTCAGTTTGGCGCACCCGAAGGGCCAGAGACTGCAGCCCGTTCTTATACTCCCTCAGTCGCCTACGCATTTCCATCTGGAAAGTGAGGTTCTGCAAAGTGACAAGAAGTCAGATAACGAGAAGAAAAAGAGCTGGAAAAAGGGCAGGTCGAAAACACTTACGCGGTAGTATTGGCGAAGAGAGGCCTGGATGATATACTCGTCCAGCATGGCGCCAGTCGCATCCACGTCCTTAGGAAGGAGAACGTGTTCAGCCCAGGTGCGAACGGAGGAGGTGCCTTGCCAGATCTGGGCATCCTCGTCCACCTCGTGACTCAACCGGATCCTCTTCGGAGCCGGCGCATCCGACTGCTCGACCGGCCGCTTGTTGCTTGGACTCTCAAATGGCGGAGGAGGCGGCTGTCGAGTAGGCGAGACGACAGGCGATGGCGTCAAGTCAACCACTGTACGTGGTGGTGGAGGAGTCGACCTTGGAGCCGGCGACGGTTGGGAGGAAGAGGCAGCAGCAGCGCCGGTGGCGCGTTGAGTCAGACGGCGCCTCATCTTTTCAGCTCTGTCGACCATCTCTGGAGTCGGAGCGGCAGCCTCGTCGGAACTGGTGGAGTCGGAGTCGTAAGGACCTGTAAAGACGAAAGATTAGTATTAACAGTCGGGCAGGAAAAGAAAGGTAAAGGAAAGGCATGGGAGAACTACCTAAGATGGCCGCGCCGTCTGGCAGCAAGCCTCGTTTGGCCATAGCTCGGAACCGAGACCAGTACTAAACAGAGTACGGCCCAAAGCCCCTCAAGAACTCGCCACTCGGAAAGGTGAAGGAAGAAAGAGTGGGGCGAACGAAGAAGTAGAGGGGCTTCCAGTCCTTGATGGAGTCGGACAACCCCTCGAAAAGTTGTCGCCCCGGACGAGCGGCAACCTGAACAAAGCCCAGCGAGTGCGAGCCAACCTTGTTCACGGTAAAGAGATACCGAAACAGGTCCAGATCCGGCTCACACAGCCACCAGTGGCAGAGATTTATGAAGCAGGTGAGGAGGCGATGAGAATTGGGCACTAGTTGACCCAAAACCAAATTATAGTGGCGGAAGAAGAGGGAGAGAAATGGACACGGAGGAACTCGGAAGCCGAAGGCAACCGAGTGCAAATGAATACCCACACAACCCTCCGGCGGGTCATGAATGGGCCGGCCCTCTGGGGCAAAAACTAAGGCCGAAGGCCCAAGTAGAAGGCGGGCCATGTCCAGGTCCACCGCGGTAACGACGGACGGTGGCCCGGACGGCCGGACGATTGAATCGAACTTGCCTCGCGGCCGTCTGGCAGAGCCGCCACCGTCGTTAGGGGAGCGGGGCTAATAGGAGTAACCGCCCCCGAAGAAGAGGGGGTCGGTGGAAGAGAAGACGTCGATGGAAGATCTGCCGGAAGTTCTATGCGACGAGGAGAAGAAGAAGAGGAAGAGGAAGGAGAAGAAGAAGACGGGGAAGTCGCCGCCGGGTTATCGACCGAGCGACGACGAGAAGAAGAAGAGTGTGAGGAGGAAGATATTTACCAACCTGAGTGTGTGGACTGAGGAAAATGCAGAAGAGGATCGAAGGTGCTTGACGCTGAGTATGGAGAGTTGAGAGAAAATTGAGAGGAAGATGAAGAAGATGGCTATTTAAAAGGGGGGGGGAATCCCAATGGACGGCCACGTGTCACCCTCTCATTAGAGAAGAGAAGGGTGACAAGAAGTGAAAGGACGCCGTAATTAATGCCTCGGAAGACGGAAAGACGGTTCAGGCCTAGGGCTAGCCTGCAGGCGGCGCGTCTACCCTAGGCTTGGTCCGATGACACTGACCCGGCCTGTTAAGCCAGAAGCCCATAGTAGGCCGCGGCCTTTGGGCCCACCGGTTCTACTTAGAAGCTTCCAGAAAAACCCGAAGGAATCCAGTCCGTCAGTCAACGCAATCAAGGCTCACGAAAAGATTCCAGTGTCGGAGTCTGACCACTAGATCTGGCGACTCCCCAACAAGAAAGATCCCATTAGGGAGGGAGTGGAAGTCGATCAATGAAAGTACAAGTATCAAGTAAAACGAAAAGCATACAGTTTATTCGATAAAACCTGAAAAGTACAAGGCCGAGGACTCGGCCAGAGGCAAGATACAAGGAAAAAGTAGATCAGGACTTGGCTTCTTTCTCCTCCGACGGGCGAGCTGGCGGAGGACCCTCCAAGAAGTACTGAGGTCGGAAAGGCAGAGGACTCGGCTCAGGCTCCGACACCTCGTCCAGATACACATCCGGCTTCCCATCATCGACCATTTGCAGGGGCCTCTCTAGGGCGCTCGGAAACATAGCCAACCCAAAGAGCGGAGGAACCTCCCACACTTCTTCCTCCTCTGGAACTAAGTCGTCCAT